AGGGTGTCAGGATCACTGCTGTCAGAAGTTGAGTTTATTCCATAAAATGTGGCAGTTACTTCGTTCATTGTTTTTGCAACCACCACCATCAGATCATTTGTGATCTGATGGCTGGGAAGCATGCTGCTGTGATTTCCGGTGGGAGGTCTCTGTTTCTTCTTTTTTTTTTGGCCTTTTTCCTGTTTTCTCAGCTCAGAAATTCGTAATGAACTTGCCTGGCCGCTGCCACTCAGTGTCACACTGGATCGGCCACACTCCTATCCGACTGTTAATGGGACCTCGCCCCTGGTAGCCTAGGATGTCACACTTTTTTCTTTTTTTTCAAAAACTCTTTTGTAACAGTAATGGCATTTCAACGACAGAATCTTCCCAAAAACAAAAACAAAACTAAAAAGAAAATCAATGACAGAATCTGGGTGGCCATAAACTTAAACATGAGATAAACAGTACCATGAAAATCCCTCGAAGCCTTCTGACTGCTGATCGGACAGACATTGCTGGGATGCCCTGATTGTAATCCCCAGACTCCTCCGACGAGACATGACTACCTTCGCGCTGCATCGTCTGAGAACAAAAGGAGGAAAACCAGGAGGTCAACACAGACACACGTACGTCAGAGATTTGACTTGATTTGTTTGATTTGATTTGATTTGATTTGATTTGATTTGATTTGATTTGATCTGATCTGATCTGATCTGATCTGATCTGATTTGATTTGATTTGATTTGATTGATAGGTGAATATCACAAACATCATAGCGTACAAAGCACACAGGTACGAAGCACACCTGGATGACGAGATAACACCAGTACAATGATGACTGTACAAAGAAGTACAATGGTACAACAACGACTCCACGCCGGTGGGTTTGACACCGAGACCGGTTTCAACCGCCGCCATGCAGTCCTCAGGGGCAATGCAGCCTAACTTCGACCCTCTGCGATAGCCACATTCCTCTCGCCCCCACCTCCGTGGTCTACCCGCAACCATCTCCAGAAATGACCGTGGGGCGACGCAACGTCGGACCCCAAAACGACCAGAAGACGTCACAATAACTAGTTTTACGCTATTGTATAGGTCACATCCGCTACTATGGCTTATAGGTAGCATCCGCAACTATGGCTTATAGGTAGCATCCGCAACTATGGCTTCTAGGTCGGATCCGCAACGATGCCAACTAGGCCTTAGTCGAATCCTAAGTACCAAGTCAAGGAGGGATCAAACCGCCTGCCGAAAAAAAAACACAGTGCAAAGTACAAAAATAACCTGGCAGTCCGATTCCTTTCCTTTGCACCTGGCTCCATGCAGTTCCAACTTCCAACCCCCTGGTACTGTGCCTGCCACCGAACTGCGCCAAAGTAACCGCTAATCCCGAATCACACCACTTGTGCAAGGTTCGTGGGTCAAAAACCACGATCCTGCGTCTGAAGTATTGGCGGTTCGCTACGTCTCGTCACCAAGTACCAAGTTCGATCCCGGGCCACTTCTTCACAATCCAATCCAATTTCAAACAAACAAACAAACAAACAAAAGGGTTTGTGAACTAGCAACTACAAGAAAACCTACAGAAAGAAAAGTACACACCGGCAACACGTTACCGTGTCCGCACATTAATTACCCTGTACTCAGGCCTACCGGTAGGCCTATGAGACCTTTTCCAACATTGCCAAGGGGATAAAATCTTCGCAGATGGGCGCGCGTAGTATTAGGCACGAAGTGTTGATTAGATCCCAAGCGAAACGCTTGAGCTTCGAGTCGCCTGGAAGTTGAGACTGTATCATCATCCCATCTTATATGTAAGGGGTCTAGGTTGTGTTGCATTCGGATGATGGGGGTATGATTACTGAAAAACACGAGTTTGATATTTAAAGCAGGAGGATGGCAGGAGCCCACTACTCCAGTGATTGAGTTATTGGGGACTAAAAAACTTAAAAAAAGACTTGATATATAAAGTATCTTGACACCCGTAAAGGGGAAAGATCAGGAAGGAAAAGGCTCGTTCAGAAACAGGAGGGGGGGGGAGGAGGCTGGGGTGTGATATACCAGATCCTGGATGATGTTATTGCAGCTTATACGAGCGCTAGGAAACGGTTTATGAATGATCAACAAGGAGTATTTGTTGCGCCATGCCTACGACGTCGACATCAGCCCATCCTTCTTTGGAAATTATGTGTGGCAAACAAGACGCCAACATGCAGACCCACATTAGCACTGTTGTATTGTTCGCATTCAGTGCAGAGTTGAGGGGTCAGCAAACTTTCGAAATGTCCTGGACTAAGCGACATAAAAAAAGGGTACAGGAGGATTCAGCCAGGGAGTCGGAAGGTGCGCCACGGTGCACCACCCCAAAAGGGGGTCCTTATTCCCTACACGTCTGGTCGATGTAAATGTGAGTAGATCTGACATCTGAAAACTGCTGCTTGCACCCCCCACTGTTACGTACCCCGATCGAACTTCAATCCACAGTGAATTCGCACGTTCCCATTCATGCATGCAATTGCAGAGTAGACACGGAGAAGGCGGGGCGAATCCACAATCCACACAAAACCGGAGTAAGCAAGATACGCAGCGGAAGCTCATCACACAATAAAGAATCGAGTAACGAATTTCGATTCTGAAATCGCCCCCGTCCTCCTGCAATCAATCCAGGAGTACTTTACTCCAATCAATCACAACCGCGTTGTCAACAACCCCGAACAACCAAAATCGAATGTTCAACGACGTATCCAGGAGTCTTCTTCTTCCTCCTCGCCACCTCATTACCCTGGCGGCTATGGCTGTCATAGCAGCAGAACCCCCAAACTGTCACAACGTGCCAATCTGAACTAGCACCCTCGATAACTGCCAGCGCCAGCTCAGCGCCCGCACTGAAGTGCAGCGCTGGAAATCCTGATGAAGAAGAACACGACCAATCCAGTACTTTGAAGAAGATGGTTCCTTGTGAGGAGGAACAACGAAAGAGCTGGCCTCGCCCCAACACCTCACAACACAGTCCAGTGGAAGCTCTCATGCAGCGCTGCAAAACAGCAGCAGCCCGCCCTTCAACTTCCGGTCCAACTCCAGCTATGGATGGGCTTCGATGAAGAAGATGGCCTCGCCCAAAATAGCACACCTGCGCGCTCAAATGGCAGACCCGGATCCCTTTTCCCTCGCGCTACTTCCAGACTTAGGGCACGGTGAGAGCACAGGCCTACGGGCCTAGAAAAGAAAAGCAGAAAAAGACGGAATGGAAACTCCTAAAGGTTGTAAGCCTACGGACAAGAGAGCCTAACCACTAACAGGTCGAGGGATCAAGCCCTGCGCGGCTTAAAGCACCAGTACACCACATATCGGCCCGCGGGTGTCAGCATGAAACCCGCACCACTTCGGAGGCCACCGATTCTTTTTTTCAATGGCACCCCACGCCACACAGCCCCTCCGAGTTTTGCTTGTGGCGACAAAGACTTTCTGCAAGGCTGGGCCCGTGTACTTGCAGTTTAAAACGGCAAGAAAACAAACAAACAAACAGTAAAAAAAAAACACTACCCCCGCCAGTACTATCAGGTTAACTCAAAGGGAAAGGCCCTAGGAAGTTTGGAGTAGGCCGGGGGGAAGTGTCGTGTGGATGTGGAACTCTCAGCAGACCTCATCATCCATGAGAGGCAATGTCGAAAACTTGTTTAGAGTAAACAAGGACCTCTTGGTGTTGTGGCCGTCCGAAAAAGGGTTGCATGACCATGCAACACCGCCCATAACTTGGTTGCCAGCAGGTTCACCCAGGCATTAAACCACCAGTACTTCCTAAAGTCGTGCCCGTTAACAAGCAACGATTTTAGGAAACGTACGAGCCACTACAGGAGCGCCCAAATTCATCCGACTAGAAACGTTTCTACTCTTTTTTTTCCCGCGGCCTATAGCTGGGCCAAGTACTGGTGGTTTAACTATTGTGCATGCTACATCGGCAAACAAGCAAACACCCTCAGTTGATCTACCTCTTCCGCATCAGCCGCTCAGCGGGGATATGCCCCCGCCGATAGTGACAGCCCCTAGGGTTGGGCAAGTTTGCCCAACTGTCCCTATCTTTCTATAGGGCTTGGCTATACTATGTCAACAAACGAGCAAATGCCCTCAGCTGATCTACCTCGTCCGCATCAGTCGCTGGGTGGGGATCAGCTGATCTACCTCGTCCGCATCAGTGGTCGGGTGGGGATAAGCGCCCGGCAATCGTGACAACCCCTTGGGCTGGGTAAGTTTGAGTTTGCCCCACTGCCCCTATCTTGTTATAGGGCTTGCCAGGATGTAAGTTGGTGCACCTCGTCGAAGTGGCATACATTTAGTGCACTTTATAATTTCGCTCACTCAATAGTACAAACTGACAACATCCTCTCCACACGCCACACCCATGTCTTACACAGGTTGCTACACCAATGGCATAAATGGGAATCCCTCAACGACATGATCCTCATCTACTACCCTTGATGCCATCCACCAGCCTACGCCTTTCCCTGCCTACGTATCCGCTCTCATGAAACGTGCCCTCCCCCTTTTCTGCAAGCTGCAAACTCCTCCCCCCTTCAGCGTGGGGACATCAGTGGAGGAGTTCAGTAGCCTGCTGAACTCCTCACACTGATGTCCCCACGCTGAATCATGCATCCCACGAGCATAGCCCACCGAACCCCAGCCCGCCGAATCCCAGCCCACCGAACCCCAGCCCCCTCCCAACCACGGGCGAAGCTGCAGCAAGTACCACCCGATTTTTTTTCTTTACTCTTTTTTTCTTTTTTTTTTCAGTTTCGCTGGAGCGTGCATTTCCTCAAATCAAGATGATTGTGCCGGTGCAGTTCAAGCTTTCAAAAAAGTGAACTCCAATGTCATCCCTGGTCACATGAGACTTTTTTTTTTTTTCCCCTTTTTTTTTCATTTGAGTCTTCTACGCACTCGTAGATGAGGAAAAGTGTCAAATAAAGGACAGTGTTTCTGGGTTATGATTGGTCTACTTCAGCAGCATTTGAGTGTAGGTGGTGGGCGGGCGAGTCCTCTCATGCAGGGTACAATTCCAACAAAAGTTTATATCTTATGCTGAAACTTCACTTCCATCTACACATTCATGGATCCATCAATACATGAGATTCATCCATTCATTCGTCCATCCATCGATCCATGGAACGAACGGTCCATCAATGAAGCCATCGGAAAAATTTTGTCATGCCAACGAGATCCATAGCACCTCCTCAGGCCTGTGCTACCAACCCATAACTGCAACAGAAAAATTCCCACGAGAAACGAAAGTTGAAAAAACATTCTATACAAAAAAAAATCCTTCATATTTATAAATTATCATTCCAATGTTCGTCCAATTCTAAATTTTCCAGTTTTATTTGATAAGTTCCCCTCTAAATATGAGCTTTCCCTTCCAACTACATCTATTTGTTCAAGATGGAATGAAAGTCAGGACGAGTTTATGAAATGTTTTAATTAAACTTTTCATCTACTGCAACAAAGATCTTCTAATTTAGATTGGATTTAACCTATTTATGACTGGAAATCCTTTCTTAGAATGACAGTCCAATTAAAACATTTCATGA